TCTTTCATAATTATAATAAGTTTTTACTTAAAAACAATACTTCTCATAAAAAAATTTCTTCATCAAAATAAAAAAAATAACATGGATAAAAAAAAAAGGTTTTTGATTGGTAGTATATGTTTGTTTTCATTTTTACTTGGGATAATCATAGTTTTTGTAGATATTTTTTTTAATGTTGTCAATAAAATATACTTCTAATAAAATATTTTTTTTTCGATTAAACATTTGATAAGAAAATGAAAAGGACAATTTCGAAACTTTGCAGGGTCTGTTGCTTGATAAGAAAACGGAATGCTGAAACTTTGTAAATTTATTTGTTTGTGGATCTCTTAGACTTGTTTTCTTTTCTCTATTGTTATCATGAGGTCCAGTAGCATTTTAAGAACAAAAACAGAACTATATATATATACACTAATTAACTGAGTTAATTAATTAGTTTTAATAATTTCATTTATTTATTTTAGTTAAAATGGTTGAAAGCTTGTACTTGATAAATCTAAGATGAATTGTGATTAATACTTACAAAAAATATTATTTAATGAGAGATTCTTAGATATTTAAATAAATATCTTTTTAGAGTTTAAAAAGTATAATAATATTATGAAGAAATATGCTTTGAAAATGTATACACAGTAAAGAATGAAGAATGAAGGTTATAAATTTTTAATTTGAAATATTTATGATGTATTTATAAAACTATAAGTTTTTATTTTTTGTAAAGAAAAAAAACTAAATTATAACTTTATTTTTTTATATTTTAAGTTGTATTATAAATTTTATTTCACTTATTTTATGTAGTTAAAACATGGAGACAAGACGGCCATGATAAATTTAATATACCTAATGATGTTATTAGAATATAAACTTGTTTAATTAAAATTATTCATTAAAAAAAAATTTCTTTAATTTCATATAAGATTTATAAAATTAAATATACTAGATCCAATTATCTTTTAGATCTAACAATACACGTGATGCACCTAAGCCTGATATTATAACAGAGTCTCCCTAGCACCAGATCTAGTAAAGTTTGGGTTGAGCATTGGCAAAACCTAATCATCTCTTGGATCTACTTATACTAGACCCAACAAGGTGTAAGCCTAACATTGACTGGATTTAATTATTTCTTGTGTTTACATGCCTAATTAACTCATGGGCTGGGCTTTGATCAAACCTGGGTTTCTATTGAGTTTGGTTTAATGCTGATGCGTGTTGCTACAGTCCACTCAAAAACTTCTAAGGAATTATATTTATATATTTTTCTTGATGTGACATGTTTTTGGGTATGTATATCCCCGGCATAGACCAGGAAAAAGAAGAGAGAAGGACTATCATTCTAAAGTTTCACCTAGCGATCCAAAGAAACATTTACTAAAAAAATAAATAAAAAAAAAATGGAAAAGAGAGGCCGCATTGACAACTTACAAGAAAAGGAATGAATACAACAAACTAGTATCATATATATATATATATATATATAAGCCTAGAAATCTAATTAACTTAGTAACATGTCTCATTTGCTGGCTGGATAATTAGTTAATTAATTAATTTTAATAATTTTATTTATTTATTTTAGTCAAGATGATTGATAACTTGTATTTAATGAAGCTAAGATGAATTGTAACTAATACTTGTAAAAAAAATCTTATATTTAATGAGGAATTCTTAAATATTTAAATAAATATCTTTTTAGAGTTTAAAAACTATAATAATATTATAGAGAAACATGCTCTGAAAATATATATACAGTAAATAATGAAGATTATAAATTTTTATTTTAAAATATTCATGATATATTTATAAAGTTATAAATTTTGTCTTTTTTTGAAAAAGAAAAACTAAATTGTAAATTCATTTTTTTTATATTTTAAGTTGTATTATAAATTTTATTTCACTTATTTTATGCACTTAAAACATGGAGACAAGGCGGCTATGATAGAATTAACATACCTAATAATGTTGTTGTTAGAATATAAACTTGTTTAATTAAATCTATTCATTAAAAAATAATTTTTTTTAATTTCATATAAAATTTATAAAATTAATAATATTAGATCCAATTATCTTTTAGATCTAACAATACACGTGATGCACCTAAGCCTGATATTATAACAGAGTCTCCCTAGCACCAGATCTAGTAAAGTTTGGGTTGAGCATTGGCAAAACCTAATCATCTCTTGGATCTACTTATACTAGACCCAACAAGGTGTAAGCCTAACATTGACTGGATTTAATTATTTCTTGTGTTTACATGCCTAATTAACTCATGGGCTGGGCTTTGATCAAACATGGGTTTCTATTGAGTTTGGTTTAATGCTGATGCGTGTTGCTACAGTCCACTCAAAAACTTCTAAGGAATTATATTTATATATTTTTCTTGATGTGACATGTTTTTGGGTATGTATATCCCCGGCATAGACCAGGAAAAAGAAGAGAGAAGGACTATCATTCTAAAGTTTCACCTGGCGATCCAAAGAAACATTTACTAAAAAAAAAATTAAAAAAAAAATGGAAAAGAGCCTATAAAACACGGTAGTTAACTCCAAGAAATCCCCTAGTCAAGGCTTTTTTTGGAGTAACCAAGATATATAATTGCTGAAAATACACCGAAATATAAAAAAAGAAGGTGGGCAGCCAATATTTATATTCATAATAAGAAAGCTGCTGTTTAGTGCTAAATTAAAAACACGATTAAAGATTATCAAAACATGATTTTCTAAAAAAAACTTGAATTTCACATCATTGGAAGTTTGTATTCTAAAAATCATGCTATTAATAAAACATAAATGTTTTTTTTTTGTGAAAGTAAAAAAATGCATAAATAAAGAAAGGGAATGTTAACTTAAAAAAAAATCATTTTTTCCCTCTAAAATTCAAACCTTATGATTATTTAGTTTAATTGCTATGAATTTAAATAAAGATAGATTTTAAAAATGAAACAGCAAGCATGACGGTGGTAGAAGATTTTTTACCACTACTTTAACAGAGTTTCTTAAGAGATAAGGTTCTCACATTATCTGTCAGTTCGTAGATTTGGCTTCTCATAAAAAACGGAAAACACCAATACCAGTTCTACAGCAAAAGTAGCTTCATATGATGATTCTTGTTTATCCCAAAAAGATACAGAAAAGCATGCTTACCAGGCCTGCAACACTGGCTTGCCATGTTCGTGTCTGTAGCTGGTTTGCTGCTGTTACAGGGCTAATAAAGACGAAAGAAGTACCCATATATTTTTTTGTCTGTATAAGAATTTACGTAATGCTTATTTGTGATTGTTTTTATTCTTTATATTTTGATGGTCGGAGAAAGGAGGAGAAAACGAGTTTTAGGTTATTTTAAAATTTCAAAAAAAAAAAACTTAATTTTATATGACATCTTATTATTTATATGACATCCTATAATTTATTACTTGTAATCCCATAGATTAGAAATGCTTAAAAACAAATTATAAATGTTTGTCAGATACTTTTCAGTGTTCTTCTCAGAGTGTTAAATTTAGTTCCTCCCAAGCTGAGCTATGCAGTGACTGATGTTAGAATGCTTCAAAACAAATGATAGATGTTTGTCAGAGACAACAATTTGTTAGCAACTTACCATGTTTACGAGAAATCTGAGAATTTATACGTATGCAATTCATGGGCATAGAGAAGATTTTATGAGAAAACAAGTCACATGGTGATTAACTAATGATATATCAAGTTAATATGGCTCCACATAATTTGATTGCTGTCATGTGGTTAGACTGTGTGACACCAACTTATGAAGAATTAACTTGTATGCACTAATTCGTTTAACGATGACTATTCTATTATTAGGGATAGTCTCGAACAACCAAGCGTGCGTTATTGTTTAGACTCATCTTTAATTAATTCAAGCTAATATAAAAATAAAAATTATTATTATAATTTTAAAATTTAATTAAAAAACTAACTTAATTTAAAAATTTACCTAAAATAAGTTTAGATTACAGGTTGGGTCAACCTTTGACCTAGATCAATATAAATATAAAATTGATTATTATCATAATTTTAAAACTCAACTAAAAGATCAACTGGGGACAAAACTCAATTTACAGATTAGGATAATTAACTCGGGATGATCCAAAATAAAATAAAAATAAAAATAATTATTATCATAATTTCTAAAATCAACTTAAAAATTGACTTGAAATAAATTTCAAGTGACGGGTCGGGATAGTCAACTTAGATTGACCATAGTTAAAAAATAAAAATCAAAACATCATTGTTTTGACTAAAAAATATATAATTTTTTTTTATTTATATTTTATTCCAAATGGGTTGCACTTCAGCTTAAATTTTTTTATAAGATTAAATCAAATTAATTTAAAAATATTTTTTTTTAAATTTAAAATAATTTAGGTCTAGGGTGGGCTAAATATCATCTAGCGTCCACCAAGTATAAAATAAAACAAATTATCTAATCTAATTCAAAGCATACCAAACACAGTATAAAATAGTTACTTGTATAATATGTCCAGTACAATCAATAATATACAATATACCAAACACTGCCTTGCCAAGACTGCAATGATCCGTGTATTTTTTTTAGTTAATGGCTACGCAAACCCAAATCTCCATGGGCTTTAAGAAAAGCCCATGTAACATGCTGAAAGCTACGACGAAGCAAGACGATTTAATAACGAAATGTCATTTTCCTTGTACCTGCATACCTTCCCCTGCTAACATCAACTTCCCTACTTTAACTTACATAATTTTATAGGATTATTTCCTTGCCCATCACTGATAGAAACATTGTTTTGTTTGGTTCTCCTGACAAAGGTATCCTCAAAAGATCCCTCTCCTTCCCTCTCTATCTCAGTTTTACATCAAAGCAGTACACAGTGTCACCAGAAGAACCGGCGAAAGTCTATCTCCTCACACTCCAAAAGTTATGAAAGGAGAGAGACAGAGAGAAACAAGAAAGAGAGGGATCGTTGTGTAACATCTAGTGTAAGGTTTGGTACTTTGGTAGGCCACCACACAAGGCACTTTTGTCAAAATACTCCCACACTCATACAAATTACACATTACTTACATGACTACTGAACAATAAAAGAAACAAAAGGCAAAGGGAAGGTCTTTAATTCAAAAACTCACATAATTTTCAATTTATCTCTCTCTCTCTCTCTCTCTCTCTCTTCTTGACCAGCACCTGCATTTCCCTGTCAAAACTCTAGATTATGTTCAAATCTAGGGTTTTTGTTGTTATGTCCTGGTTCAATACTATTTGAGTTGTTTAGCCCTTTTGGCCTTGGAAACTTTCAAAGCTGCTCCTAATTCTGCTCTCAACATTTGTTCACCAAAATAAGTTGTCTTTTTGGGCTGTGAGACTGAAATTTCTTGCTTGTTGAGCATCATCTTCTTGCTAGGTTTAGTGGGTTTAGTCAAATTTTGCTAGATTTTCTTGATTCTCTCCGTTGATTTTCTTGCTAGTCATCTTAGAAACCTTCGAGAATTCCTTCGTATCTATGTTTTGTTTTTTTTAGTTTTTAGGGCTAACAAGGTTTTTCATTCCCTTTCATCTTTTCACCTCTCAACTTGAAAATCTGAAATTTTGTTGCTGTCTAACATTTGCACTCTTTATAGAAAAACCCTTGTAAAACCCTTCTTTTGAAACCCTCACTTGGCTCTGTAGTTTATTTAATATTTTTCACAAAATTGGGTTAAATTCAAAAGGGTCTAAAAAATACGCAATCTTTAGCAACAAAACAAAGAAGGAAAGAAGGATAAGTTATTATTTCCCCCCTCTGATCTTGTGCCGTTGTGATCTTGCTCTATTTTGCTCAGTAAATGCATGGATGGAAGAGAAGCCATGTCATTTTCTAGTGAGTCATCTCCATACCATATTCATAGAGGAAGTGGGTTTCTCGGGCCCGGGTATGGATCACAACATGGTGTATCGCATCCCCAACCTGGGTTCAGATCCTTGTCAAATCCTCAACTTGGAGCTCAATCAAATGTCCGGTCTGGCTCAACTGTGCCAGCATTTTCAATAGAGCCACCAAATGTCAATTTCGGTCATGGCATTAACATGGTTGCAACCTCTGAGGTGCAAGTGGGTGAACCAGTGAAGAAGAAGCGAGGGAGGCCCCGGAAATACGGCTTGGTTGGGCAGGTTTCTCTTGGATTGTCTCCCTTGCCAAATAAGCCTAAGCCATCTTCAGGGGAGGATTCTTCCACCCCAAAAAGAAATAGAGGGCGGCCGCCTGGAAGTGGAAGGAAGCAGCAATTGGCGACTCTTGGCAAGTATTTGAATTAGATTATTTTGTAGTTATATGCTATTGTAAGTTATTAATATGAAATCTTATTGGCATTTAATGTGGTTTAATAATCAGTTATAATGCAGGGAATTCACACTTGCTTAATGTTAGGAAGTAATGAATTGTGGTCAATAGTGATCTTGCCATTTTTATTTTCATCGAAGTATTTAATTTGCAATGTTCTGCATTTGTTCTTATAATCTGGCTTGGACATACAGGCTAAGCTTTTATCCATTTAATTGCCTTGCTCTATTCTTTCAAAGCTGTTGCCATCTGTCAATTAAATCTTTTGAATGCTTCTTGTCTTAAAGCATTTTTAACTGTCTTTGATGTTAAATTTGATTTTGATTTCTGTGTTGTCTTTAATATATCTAAGGCTTGTTGATCTCTTCTAATTTTCTAAAATGTTATTAATTGATATTGCAAGGTGAATGGATGAACAGTTCTGCTGGAGTAGCTTTTTCTCCGCATGTGATCAGCATTGGAGTTGGAGAGGTATGCTATATCCTTTGCAATGTCAAGTTTTCTTGGACAGTTGATGTGTAATCAAGTTGTGAGGTTTACTAATTTAGATCAAGATTCAGTTAACTTGAAAGGTTTTCCTCCATGAAACACATTTTACTAGCCGCATTTATGATTTTTTTAAATATGAAAGAAGCTGATCACATCTTCATTAGAATTGAATGCATGAGTTTTCTTGCATTTTGAAGGGGAGAAATACCAGTATTAGGATAGCTGTTTTTGACATTGAAGCTTCCTTGATGTTTGTGCAAGTCTGTATTGTCCAATAGGTAAGTGAACTTGTATGGTTTTTCTCAATGAAACACATTTTTCTGGCTGCTTTTGTACTTTTTAAAATATGAAAGAATCTAGTCTTAGCATTACTGGAATTGAATGCATGAGGTTTTCTGGCACTTGTGGAGATGTAGAAATAACAATATCAGGATACTTGCCCTGACATTGAAGCTTTCAATGTTTTTTTAAGTTTGTGATTTGTCCAGTATGTGAGTGGTTTAGCTATACGAAATAGTTAAACTGTTTGTTGAAAATAAAAATTGCATTTCAATGGAGAAACTTGGTGTGTAAGTGCATGCTCATGCACACATTCTTTTGCACATGTGAAGTTGCATAATTTCCCAATTTCATGTTGATTTGAAACCTCTTACATTGTTCTTTGTAGGATATTGTTTCAAAACTGTTGTCATTTTCCCAACAGAGGCCAAGGGCTGTTTGCATCTTGTCTGGAACTGGTACAGTTTCCTCAGTAACACTCCGTCAGCCAGCATCTTCTGGGTCCTCTATCACATATGAGGTTAAGGCAGTTGCATATTTATGGATATTTTTCTAGATTAAACTGTTTCCTATGAGTAACTTAGCTTCCTTAGCTTAATTTAGATTAAAATGCTGATCTGAAAATTGGGTGTGAATGTCAGTTTACCACACTTATACCCCCCCCAAAAAAAAAAAAAAGAAAAAAGTTTTATTAGAATCTTACAAGCTTTCTGACTTGTTTCATAGTAAAATAGCTCTTTCCATCATCTAATTTGTCAATGTACTGACATAATGAATTCCTTCCTTATTATTGAGTTTGAGCATGTCTAGCTTCCTGATACTTTCTTAATTGCTCTCTTTTATTTATTAAAACACTGAAGGCAAGAGCTTGTGCAAACAATGTAACAGCTGTTAACTTATGGATTTTTGGGTCCACTAGTGAAGTCAGAACCAATAATTGAATAAATGAATTCTAGGGAATATTTGAACTTGGAATGCAAGAAGAAACAGGGAATGGCAAGGTTGTGGTGGAAATGAGGAAAGAAAGGGTAGATGGGACTCAAGTCCATCTGGAGGTGATTGAGCTTTGAATGAAAATAGATTGAAGCTGAAGCTTAGTTGTTGAAGGTTATGAACTAGTCAAATTTTGATAAAAGCCAATGGCTGGGAGTTTCCTTGAAGGTCTGGAATTTGAATATGGAACATAATTGGGCATATGTTTTATCTAGTAGGTTAGGTTTTAGGCAGGGTTAAGTGTCTAATAGTTTCATACTTCCATGACTTGCCTGGGATTACATGGATAGCAAATGGTCTATGAGCGAGGATTCTAATGTTGTTACGAGGAACTAATTCACTGGTCTCAAATTATTGAAATATCAATTAATGTGCCATCTAAGTGCGGATAACAAAACTAATTTTGATTATCATTTGTCTTAAACTTTGGGCATAATCATATATCGGTGATGACGAAGACAAGAGCGCATAGCTGGCATGAACATTCTGGACTAGTGGTTAACTGTTACCTTGAACTTTGGGTGCAAGGTTCCAAAATCCAAATGAAAGAGCAAGCATTTGTCATGTTCTGGTAATGCCTCCAGAGATAGGATGGTAATTCTTGGCTTCGATGTTATTTATTTTGTGGTAGTTCTTGCATGTTTAGCCACATTAACTTGTCCAGCAAGTTCCAGGGGCAGCAAACATTTTTTGTACTTTCTTTCAAAAAATAAGGATGTGATTTTTCAATGGCCATGTCATGGTGGATCAAAGTGGCTTCAGAGTTTTGGCGGATTTAATGTAAAATAAGAGAAATTTTGAAGGCAGTCATTTGAAGTATTGCCATATGTTTGGCTACATTGAATTGTTTAGTGAGTTTGAGGACTGCAAACACTTTTTGTAGTGGATTTAAGCTGGTGCTAATTATTGTGGTTTAATGGGGAAAGAAGTTGCAACTCAAGGTGGATCAATCTGAAAATGCATTTGGTCAAGTAATTTTTCTTGATTTATCACAGTGATGAAAAAATGAGCTTTATTGCACACAAGCTGCATGACCATGAACCTTGCAAAATGTGTATTGTTTTGCCGTTTCCTTCTGCTTAGGTACTTTTTAATTGTTTTAACCATTTTTTTAGCAGCAAGAAGGAACTCATTTAGAATATTTAACTTTTGTAGGGCCGTTTCGAGATATTATGCCTGTCAGGCTCTTACTTGGTTGCCGAAGATGGTGGGCCTCGCAATCGAACTGGAGGTATAAGTGCTTCTCTTTCTAGTCCTGATGGCCATGTCATTGGTGGTGCAATTGCAATTCTTATTGCTGCTAGCCCAGTTCAGGTAATATTCTGATGCTGAGTTATGTTGTACCTTTCATTGGTCATTCTATGATGATGATGATGCTAACTTTCTTAGAACCTTTAATATTTACTGAAAGTCCATATCTTCTTTATGATGAGTGCCATGTGCTAAAAATTATAAGTTTTTTCTCAATTCTCAAATCTGTTTTAATAGCAATTCAGACCTTCAGTTTACAGAAAGCAACTAGAATCATGAACATCATGCTCAATATATGGTATAGAATGGCATGCAAAATTCATGGTTCATCTTTTGCATATGTGTGAAGTGTGCAGCATTGTTTGGGATGTTCAGCATTCGCTATGGATGGTTGGCCTTATGGGTGATCACATTGCATATAGAATGCTTACTTTAAGATATACAATATCAATTGTGTATTGGATTATTTTATTTGATACTGAACTTGGTAAAAACAGAACGGTTTGAGTGACTAAAATTTGAGACTATTTGTTTTTGAATCTTCTTGCTATTGGATTATTATTTTGATTACTAATAAATATGTATCCCTTTTGGTATTGTGTTTATACACGCTCCTTTGTAGTCTAGCTTATTAGTCTAGTGGTGGGGTCATAATAAAATGATAAAGGAATCTTTAATTGCTGCAGGTGGTGGCCTGTAGTTTTGTTTATGGTGTTTCTAAGAAGGATAAACAAGTAAGCCATCCCACAAACGAAAAAGACTCCACATCTTGGCCTGATGATAATTTAGATAACCTGAAAGCAGTCACACCTACTAGCATGCCTCCTCAAAGTTTCACTTCCTCTCCGATGAGCATTTGGCCTGGACCGCAACCAGTTGATATGAGAAACCCTCACACTGATATTGACTTGACGCGAGGATGACTGTTTGCTGCAACAGACACATGGCAATTTTGTACATTTCTGTTGTTGTAAATGTATCCAATCCTGTGATAATTATGAACTCAATTCTCCCCACTAAAGGGCGATGTGTTTGTGCTAACGTAGTTTGTACAAGAAGCCATCATTTAACCCTTTCAAGTGACACTGTAAAACTTGTCAAAATTTCCAGGTAAACATTAATCTCTAGCAGAAAGAAATCGCTGTTTCAAGCAGATGATGACTGCTATTCTTTGGACCTTTGGTGTCTCTGGTTACTCATTTCTAGTTTAACCGAGTCCAGGCAGGAGTTTCCACGCAAGCATTACCGAGATTAATTCTTTGGGAAGGAAACCTAGATGTTGCTTGAGCATGACGTAATTTTGATGGCTGCTATTGGATTTTGTCAATCAGTGAGAAAACACCAGCCTTCAAGTGTAAAAATGATCCGACTTATTCTGTTGGGTTTCTAGACATGGCCTCAGATGTTAGTGTTTTTTGAGTGAGATGAGTTAATAGTATAGTGTCTTGTGTCTGCTGCAAAGGCAACGTAAGGAGCCAAAATTATTTATTCCATACATAGGATGGTATTAAATATGATGGTGAAAAATGTTATAGCTCTGAGGGTCCTTTGTTATGAAACAGCCCGTGTCTGAAGGAAAACTTGAACCCCAGTGAATCTTGGATAAGTATTTCAAAGTCGAAATGATTTTTTGACTAGTAAGAATCATGGACAACAAAACAATCTCAAATGACCCTTTGTTTTCCACCGCGCGAGTAACATTATATGCGTTGTAAAATCTCCTTGTCACAACCTGGAGGCAGTCTTTGATAGTTTCAGCTCACACTCCCGTCCTTTAGCCCCATTATGTTCTATTTACTCAGATTATGCACTTTATGCACACTGTTAGCTAATCAGCACCACTGCAAAAAGGCATCTGAAAAAATGAAGCAAGTTTGCTCAAGTTCTACTTATCTCCTAGTCCTCTTCGTGCTTCTTGTCACAATAAGTGTATTGGTTGAAGCACAAAAGTGCAAGTCAAGTGGCAAAGTTGAAGGAAAGAAGCCCCCAAAAGAAGAATGTAACCTGGAAAATGGCGCAGAACGCTGTGAAGAAGACAAACTTTACACCACCTGCATGTGCTCGCACCCGTATCTGTGCTCTACCAGTAAACAGTTTTGAGGAGAGTGGAGATGCGGTTGCACCATCAGAATGCGATGGTAAGTACCATGACAATTACACACCTGTGGTGGCATTGTCAACGGCATGGTTCCGTAAAAAGAGATGCCACACCATATCAACATTAATGGATATGGAAGTTTGGAAAGCTTTAGGCATAAATGACAAGGACAAGGAATGGGAATGGGAATGGCTGGATATGACCTGGTCTGATGCTTGATTTCCATTTGTTTTCTTTCTTGTGCTCTGCAATAATCTTTCCTCGCTGCAAGACAACGTTGTTTTATTCCCGACTCTTCACTTCTGGTTGAAAAGGACCCAGTTCACAAGCCTGTTCCGCTGGAACACAGGAAATGCAGAACAGTAGTGCAACAAAGTGGGAAATACCAAGAAAATTGTCATGGTACTTTTTGAGCTACAGACAATTTCACACTTAAAGAAGATTTTTGTCTTTTTCTTTTTCAAATTGGCATTTCTTTTTATTTATCTTTCTTCATTGTTCAAAAAATAAAATAAAAATGAACAAAAAGAGTGACCACCGTGAAGGGTATCCAACGAAAAATTAAGCATCAATGCTCATAACATAAAAATATTAACATTATCTTGTTATGTCAGGAGTAACCAAATCCAAACCAACTTACAACATCCAAAATCTGGGGAACGAAAGATATCAAGCAAAGTGTATACAGCTTGATCTTGCAACACCTATGTCTCATACTTGTCATATTCTGCAAGACATATTTAACAAGTCTTAATAAAAATAGCGCAGAGCAACCAGAATCCTTGTGCTTCCATTCTTCTGTGATCTTGAATCCTTTATACCAGCAAATCAGGAGATCTCCAGCAGTTGCTTTATGTCACGCTGCAAAAACATTAGAAGGCTTGAGATTTCCCACTATATACCAACAGACGCCAGCATAACTGAGATAAACTAGAGATTCAAGCACGTTTCCTATGGTGTTTTTTTCTGTTACCTCAAGACTAAGAGGTGAAGTTGTGGGGTAGTAACGATCAACAACTTGGCCTTCCTTGTTGACAAGGAACTTAGCAAAGTTCCACTGAATATCATCACCAAAAATTCCCCATTTTCCCAACTTCAAGAACTTGTACAGTGGAGAAGCATTCTCACCATTTACATCAATCTAAAGGACAAACGTTGGAGAAAGATTAGAATACCATTTCTCACACATCACATTAAAATTAGAATTTCAATCTTTCAGATACTAAATAAATGGCCAAATTTCTGCACACAGAGCCAGACTTTGGTAAAATCTAAAAGTATCTGAGTTATTAGCAGGGGGAGGGGGGCAATTTGTTTAAAATCTAAAAGCACACAACTCACGGTCGTTACACAATGAGAGAGAGGTAGATTTGACTATTAAAATGTGTGTGTGTGTGGGTGGGTGGGGGGTGTGGGGTTTGTTGGCGCGGCTTCTAAAATTTGAACAAATGAATTAAGAGAGCAGTCAACTTCCATGCAACTAGCATTTACCTTGTCAAAGATGGGAAATTCTGATTTGAAGCGAGTGCAGACAAAGTCTGTGATCTGATCATTAGTTCCTGGTTCCTCCTCACCAAACTGATTGCATGGAAATGCCAGTATCTCCAGTCCTGCACCAAGACATCAAGACCTAGATGTCATATAGAAAAGTAGTAGTAAAACAAGAACTGTATTCATATAGAACATGCCCAGAGATATGTAGGAGCAAAGGCATATAATTCACATGCAAGAAAAATGATGCTTTGAGAATACCATTCTCATGCATGCTAATGCTTTTGACATAATGTAAAGTCAGGGGCTTAGGATATAAAATGCAAGCTTAAGTCGCTAACCTTGATCTTTGTACTTCTCATATAATTGATTCAATTCAGCGTAATTTGAATTGGTCATCCCACTGAATAATCAACCAACATGAAGCAAAACCAACAAGTAAGGACCTTAATTGCCTCCTAAATTATCTTAATAGTGGCTAAAGAATACCAAGAGTAAGAACCTCGAAATAACAAAATCCGAAGTTCAATCTTATCCATTGAAAAGAAAATAAAAAAGATGTAACATGGGAAATACCATTTTGAAGCAACATTAACAATCAGCAACACTTTTCCCTTGAAAATGCTAAGATCCACATCATTTTCGTTAGCATCCTGCATTGAAACACAGAAAAGCAACCACCCGTATCAGTATTTGTATTTGGACTCAATTGTAGTTTATAGGATAAAAACGCATCCTTTGTGTTTATAGTTGCAAACCTACATGAAAAGAATTTGGGCCACGAAACTACTACTCACTAACCTTGATAGTGAAGTCATAGACTGATTCTGGGTGCTTTGAGGTTTGGGTTGCCATTGAAGAAGCTAAAGAGGCAGAGAGAAGCAAGTGAAGAAGCAGTAAATGAGATGGAATCATCAACACCTGTTTTGAGTTTTGACTTTTGCAGATTGTATTCTCACATCGCACGTGCCTGTCTGTCTGTATGTCCATCATTCTGTAAGTTTTGTGGATGAACATGTGACGAACATATTCGCACGTATGCTTAGCTAAGAAGAATAATAGGCTAAGAGTTATTTTTTAAAATGTTTTTTATTTAATAAATATATTAATAATTTTTTTATTTTTTAAAAATTATTTTTAAGATTAATATATTAAAATAATTTAAAAATATTAAAAATATATTAATTTAAAATAAAAAAATTTAAAATTCTTTTAAGAATATTTTTAGAATGCAGTATCAAACACTAAACATCACCTTTGTGAGAGGCCTTTCAATGTCATCATCCCCCTGGAATTTATTTTTCTTTTTGAGATCCGATCTGAAATGTCATAAACTCATGGTCGTTAGTCTCAACTTTGCAGGCGAAATGATTGGTGGGTGCTGCAGGTTGCCATCAAATGGCTGAGATGAATTGTCAAAGACTCGTATTAATTACTTATAAAAATGATAATATTTTTAAAAAACAGTTAGGTCATTTAAAAAAATATTGAAAAAAAAACAATTTATACGTATTATAATTAACAAACACAACATTCAAACTTATTAATATTAAAAAACATGATATTTCAAAAAAAAATATAAAATAAATTGTACATGAGTAAAGCAATAAATAAATAAAAAAACCTTGAAGACATGTTAGAGTTCTCTCATGACATTATTATTATTATTTAATGAGATGAATTCAAGGAAACTAAAAAAATCATAAATAATAATTTGAGTGTGTTATATTTACAATCCAAAAATAACAAGAAGCTTATTATCTTTGACAATAAGTATAACTTAATCTATTTACCAATAATAATATTTTTTTAATGCTATTAAATTTATCTTATCAAAATCTTTTTAATAGTATAAATAAAGATATAATAAAAACTTTAATATGTTTCTAGAGGTTTTTTTGCCTTACTCTCCTCGTGTGCTACTTAGTTTATAATTTTTTTAAATACCATATTTTTAAATAACAACAAACTTGAATGTAATATTTTTTAATCATATAAAAATTGTATTATTTCACCATTCTTGCCCACACTATCTTATTTTATCACTATTTTGAAAAAAAAAACCATGCTATTAAACAAAAATAGCAAAAGAAGACATACTCTAATCCCCTGTAGCTATTCATTAGATGATGATGACATACGGCAGCAAGATTAATGTAAAGGGATAGCTAGAAATCAATCCTCAGCCTACAGAGTCACTAATAAATTAGTCCTCAACTTGTTGATTCTCTGTTTATTTTCTTCTAAAAAGTTCATCACCCTCCAAGTTTTCTTAAAATAAAATTGAATTCATGAATAAAATGATAATTATTGTATTTCAATGCAAGTGACTTTGGAAAAAGGTGTCAAAGAAAAAAATTAGAATGTAAGTTATAGTTTAGTTTACAGAATATGTAAGTTTATGTAACCAAGTTAATCTTGTAATAGAGATCAAAATAGAATCCCAGCAAGTATTCATATACTGAAAAAACATAAATTTAGCATGCAAACTAAACATATAAAAAATTATTAAACTTGAAATAATATAAGTTGATAAGAAACGTAATTAAATGTTAAAACATTTTAAAATAGATTAAAAAGAAAGTTATTGTTGTTAAGGATAAATTATTTATTATTAAGATTTTATTATTCCTATCTTTGTGTAAAGAAATGATGTTAAGAAATTTCTTAAAATTCCAACAACATTAACTTGATTAGTTACACTTATATGAACTAAAGAAAAGAAACTCATAATCTCACGATGAAGAATTAGAACTTAAGCTTTAGAATTGAGAAAAAGGAGGCAATAGAAACTGAAAAAGAAAAAAAACAGGGAATATCTCCCCTTCAACCTCTATTTATTGATTTTTAAAACTAAAATTGATATAGAGTTAATTCTAATAATTACATAAATTAATTCTCATTGATTTCCCTTAATTACCTGTTATATATATATATATAAAAAAAAAACTCTAATTGTCTTTTACCTTAGAAACTAGATGTTTTTCCATTGAAAAATAAACTGTACAAGAAGAAAAAGACTGTTAATAGGTTGAATATATAAATAGATTGATAAAAATAATTTTTTATTGGACAAATAATTATTTTATAATAAAACTTAAATTTAAATCCAAAATAAGTTGGCAAAAAAATGAAACAAGGGTCTCGATGGATCCCTAGCACGAGTTAACCTAATAACTAGGCAATCTTATATTTTTTTTATACATGAAATAAAGAGTTTTGTAAATATTTTATATATATATATATATATATATATGTATATATATATATATATAATTTTTTAAGATCCTATTCGTAAATAACTATAATAATTTCCAATAAATCAAAGCCCTAAAAAAGTGAATAGATTCCGCTTTAAAATCGGCGCCTAACAATATATAAATGGAGTTCAACATGCACGTACAGGAAATACATTAAATTCCGCTTTTAATTAGTTTTTGAGTTTTTTTTCTTACCTCTATTTATGATGTTTGAAAGTTTTTGACTTGTAATAAAAAATTTTAATATAATTTTAAAATATCATATTTAATGTTAACATGATAAGGTTTTTTATAAAATTTCCTTTTCTCTTCTTTTTTCACAACTTTTCATGATTTGTCTTTGCTTTGCTTTTCTTTTTAAATTTATTTTTCCTTTTGCTTTTCTCTACAAAATCATAACTCAACAATGAAAACATTATTTTTATGGTTCTGATAAGTTTCTACTTTAATAAATAAATAATACCCTCGCTTTTATTTTTTAAAAATTGTTCAGGGCACCCTTTTTAATTAGTGGTTATTTAAAAAAAATTAATTTGATAATCTTTAGAAAGATTGTTATAATTTATCTGTAATCTTTTTCTTTTCATATTTTTATAGAAATAAATTGTATTTTCATGACGTGTTTATAAAAATAAAATTCATTTATTCTTGGTAAAAAAAAATAGCCTCCAGGATAAAAAAAAATGTTTGCATTTTAATTAAAAAAACATTCATCATAGTTAAAGAAGAATCCACAGCAACATTGACATATTTTTGATTTATATATATATATATATATATATTTAAAATTCTACTTGCAATTAGATCTTGAACGACACCAGCTTTGTAGTTCTTGGGAAACATTCACAAGAATATGCTTTTGTTGCTTAATTAAAAGATTTAATTTATAGGCTATATTTTTTAAAAGCTAGCCAACTTACATCTAGAAGGCTTTCAAAAAAGTCCAAAGAAAAATGTTTGACTCAGTTTTATTATTTTATTGTATAGTTTTGGAATTTATTTTTATTTCCCCTATCTATTTAAGGGTTTTGATTTTCTTTTCTTGTAAAGGTAGATATTTAAAGGGTTGGGATCCCTTTTAAATTGGTAGACAATTCTTGCTCCAGTCATCTCTCTCTCCCTCTTTCCTTTTATATATTGTTGATTTTTGTTTAATCTCAAAATTTGAATTATTAGTGAATGACTAATATTTTGTAGAATAGAAATTAGGTTTAAGTTGTTTGTTAATTAGAAGCCTCATAGTGGAAAAGTTCATTTCTTTATAAAGAATTGATTAAATTAGGTCAAAGGTTATTATTATTATTTTGGAATTTTATATACGAGGATCGGTGATAGGATATTATAAGTTTATGTATTTTTATTTAAAAATATATTAAAATAATATTTTTTATATTATTATATTAAAAAAATAATTTAATATTTTTTTCTACAAGAAAAAAACTATGGAAAATACAAGAATTTAGTTAAGGCTATTCCAAACAGCTGCAAGAATACCTAAACTCTCTTGTCATCCAACAGGTACAGAAAGATCCAAACACTCAGTAGGAAGCATTCTTCTTCGCAAGAAGCCACATTCCGATTGGGAGGAGGAGGAGGAGGAGGAGACTGATACAACAGTAAAGATGAACAAGATCCATGAAAGATACAGACGAGGTTATACATTATATATATATATATATATATAACCTTCAACTAATTTTTACATAAATAAATTTTAAATAACTAAATTTGTTTTAAATAACTCTAAATTTGTTTTACTGCACTCAAATGTTTCAAAAAAACCCAACACAAACATCATGCTGTAATGTTGAGGGTGTACATTCCCGTCTTTTTCGCTACGTATTATAGCTAATTTTGAGAATGTAGTTTCCAACGTTATATGAATATATATATATATATATATACACACACACAAAAAAAACAAAAAAAACAAAGAATATATATATACAAAAAAGAAAAGCATACAGTTCGTATAACATTAGAAACTACATTCTCAAGATTAGCTATAATACGTCTTGCGATCATTACAAAAACAAAAAAGACGGGAATGTACACCCTAGTTGAAAGTTATATATATATATATATATATATATATATATATTTGAGTATTAATTCTTTTATATTTTAAGTATTAAAATAATATACTTTTCTCACCCCTCTTTTTTTATAGGAAATAAAAAAACATAATGTTATATTTATAAAAAAACCTAAAAGCCACTATGAATATTAAAATATCAAACTTTCCCTTTTATATATATATATATATAATTTGTCTAAATCTAGAATTGTAATTTCATATATTAATTATATTTCAGTTCTTAATTTTTAAAATTTATTTACAATCAGGTTATACTTGATTAATAATCATTCCATTTTAATTTCTAACTAATGATTCTTATATATGCAACTTATTAGGTTTTCTAATAAGTTAATCTAAGTATATCATAATTCAAAATAAAATAAATAAAATAATTAAATTTATTAGCAATTCAATAATTGATTTATATTTGAAAATCAAATACAATATTTAACAATTTATCATAATCTTTCATATATTATTAAAATCATAAGTAATTTTACTTAATTTTTAAGTAACTAATTTCTCGATATAATTATTATTTTTTTATAATAATTATTCCAATTTAAACGATACAACATGAAATATATCTATTTTATTAAATCTTTTTAATTCTAAAAATTATAATAATTAATTATTTAAATAAAATTCTACAATCATTATTATTCAAGAACATACAAATTATTTTCTATAATTTATTTAAAATAATAAATACTTTCTTGATTACTCAAATACCTTTATATAATTTATTTATATATAAAATCTTCCGATTTGTTACCTTTAATTAAGACAATACATAATCAATATCAAAACATTACACTTTATATATAAAATAACTTAATAACAAGTTTAAAAATCACATATACAACTATCATAAAAACATTTCCATAAACATAAATAATCTCTTCATATAATTTTTTTTTACAATCAGTTTAATATCCATGTTATATAACAAATACATACATATTAATTTCTCATACCTCATTTTATAAAAGCATATACTATTTTTTTATAAAAAAAATCATAAGATATATCAATCTCAAATAACTCTAATTAATATAATAATTTTAATAAAATATTAACTATAAACATTTAAAAAAAATACTTTGTAAAATATTTTTTTATCCCATAAACTTTATCTTTATTCTAGATTTATTAATTAAACATTAAATTCATTACTCAAATAAAAATAAATTCAGTACAACATATTCATTAACAATTTATTCGTAGCAGCGCTGCGTCCTCTTTTATTTCTTCAATAGGCAATTAAACAACCATGCCCTGAGCAATTAAGCAATCCCCAGTAGTTTCTTCACGTCTTTCTGCAGAGAGTAACAATGACCAGGATCATATCAGTTACAAATTAGACATCCAAAATCACATGTAGTAGCTGTATATGGGGAATGCATGGCGGAACCAGATCTTACCTCAATGCTAAGAGGGGAAGTAGTGGGAGCATAACGATCCACAACTTTGCCATCTTTATCCACCAGGAACTTGGAAAAGTTCCATTTGATGCTGTCCCCAAAAAGACCACCCTTGCTAGACTTCAAGAACTTGTAAATTGGAGCAGCATTCTTACCATTCACGTCAACCTATACCGAGATATGCATTGTTAACCTCAATATCAACATTAATTGACTCCTCTCCTCATGAAACTAAATAATATGCTTAAATAAGGGGACTTCAATTATTGAATGTTCACCAAAAACTCAACATGAAATGGTGGGAAAATTTTGGCAGTCATGTGAGAAAGAAAATTGAATATAAATTAAGAAATCCATCTTCATCAGGATGTAAAATCTCAGAGCTAGCATACCTTATCAAATATGGGATAGTCAGCCTTAAAGCGAGTACAAGCAAACTCCACTATTTGTTCATTGTTCCCTGGCTCCTGAGATCCAAACTGATTGCATGGAAAAGCCAGAATATCCAAACCTGCATCAGAACAAAGGCAAGTGATAAGAAAAAAGAACGGGCATTACAGCAAGATGGCAATGACTTGAAAGGTTTAGCCATGCCAATCAATTACATACGAAGTTGAACTTCGCAAAAAGTCATCAGAAATATACAGGCAAACCCATGTAGCAGCCCAGCTAGTGACTAATAGGGGTTCATATATTCCTAGAGCAGAAGCTAACTCATGAAAAAAAAGCCACATCCAAGTCAGTAAACATTTAAGTGCCACAACACAAAACATAAAATATAATAGAAGTTAACCTTGATCCTTGTATTTGTCATATAGCTGGGTCAACTCCGTGTAGTTTGAATTGGTCAAGCCACTGCACCAAAATTAAAGGTTAGAGAAGTAAACAATAAACTCCTGTCTAAGAGATGGTGAAGAAGGATCCTCTTTCAATTGAAAGGGATTCTTCACCCTTATTTCCCAACTTATGAGTTCACTTCACGCTCTGTGATTTCAACAAAGTGAGGAGCGAACCCCCTGACGAACCCCTGTGGCACACTAATTATTAGTCCAGGGAGATTGGAACTGAGTCGAGGAGCATTATCTTACAGCATAGTTATCCTTAAAAGAAATGGACATCTCTTTAATAAAAACCAGAAAACACCTCAGTCTGTTCCCGTCAAGGACAGATGAAAAGGGAGGAAATGAATTACCATTGTGAAGCAACATTGACAATCAAGAGGACCTTCCCCTTATATATGCTGAGGTCAACATCATTTCCCCTAGCATCCTACAGTCAAGAAAGAACCAAGGCATTATATGTAAATATAAGTAGAACACAGACGAATCATAGTTAATACATTAGTTGGTTCAGTGGTAACAGAGAAACAGCCAATAAGACGCACATCCACAGATTGAGATGTTCAAACGATTAAAATTAAAAGACAACCTCCATGATTTTTAACAGAAATTATGCTATTTCGTACCACCTCAACAACCTTAAGAAATAAGACCTTCCTTGCATAAAAAACCATTTGTCCTTTTTTGCCCCCCCTTAACAAGAATTAAAGAGATCCTCTAAATTTCCAGCAGCAAAACAAATGACTAGACTACTATTAAGCACCATTCAAATCAAACAAACAAAAAAGGAAAATAACAGCCAGTTATGATACCAGAATCATGGAAAATAACAGCCAGTTATGATACCAGAACCTCAATATCAGCATCAAGCGAGCAACTTTATTGAGAAAGACTGAGAAAAACCATAAATAAAATACAACAAAAAATTACCTTAACAGTGAAATCATGAACTGATTGAGCACTGGATTGGCTAGCCACTGAATGATTGAATCTCAAATTACCCAATAAAGGCCTTGAATTCTCTGTTTAGAGAGACAGGGAAATCAAAGAGACTGGTGAATTATGCAAGGAAGATGAAAGGGTTCGCTAGGAATTGAAAGATAAGAGCTTTGATAATAAAAATGATGCAACGTTTAGAGCTCTATGAGAGAGAGAATGCGAGAGCAGGAACAGAGCATTGAGAATTTAAAGGAAAGATTAGTGGGGCCCGAGATAGATGGTCAACTTTTGGGGTTTGATCGGTAAGACAGAAGATGCTAAGGATACACGTTGTGGATGGATATGAATACACGTGGGTAAAGTTCAGGCCAAGGTTATTGGACGGTCAGGATTGTTGTTGCATGACGGTGTGAAACGGAAGATGTGGGTGTCAAAAGGTCTTCCAAGATGACTGTTTTTATTTTTATTTTTTGTAGTGAGCTGCAAATGTTCAGACACGGGTTCTAATATTTGTCGGCCTGTGTTTCTAGAACTACATTATTTCGCTTTCCCAAAATCTGCCTGTAGTGGTTTGGTTCAAGATGATCATAAAGATATCCACACGCCATTCAATCTGCTGAGAGATTGTTAGATAGTGTTTGTTTAAAAGGTTGTATCCGAATTTTATTTAATATATATATATATATATATATATAATTTATTTGATAAAAAATTATAGTTTATTATATAGTGTTTTTGTATTCAAAATATAAGGAAAAGAAAAGTAAGTAGTTACTTGTACACTCTTTTATTTTATGATAATTATATTGTTTAGTAAATAGTATAATTAACATGAATATTGTAATACTAAACAGTGTAACTAGCTTTATTATTCCAGCCGGACCGATTCCGGTTCAAAATTTAATATGCATTAAAATGGATCCAACCTTGTAAAATAATTTTTTTTTATTTTTTAATTGTGTTTTATTCAAAAAATTAATATTTAATATTATTTAATGACACTACATAAATTAGACAGAGATCGCTTGATGACATAACATTTACATAATTTGATCGCAATTCCAATTTTATTTCTAATTATATTTTACCTGATGTTATTGCTTGCTTAAGAAATTAAAAAAACTATAGCTCTTGTCGGATGTATTTCATACGTGATAGAATTGTAAATAGTTTAATGGAACAATGAAAAATATTTTATATAAAATATTATTTATTTTATGATGTAATAACAATAGTTAAATTTATAATATTTACATTAAAAACCATCAATATTAATATATATTTTTAAAATTATTTTATAACCTCAATTTCAAAAGCATTATTAACCAAACACATGAAACTACTTTTTATTTAATCTCAATTTCAACCATAGTTTTAATCAAATATATATAAATATCAAATCAACCTCAACTAAAAATAATTTTTATAAAACAGTTTTTTTTAACCACAACCACAATAGTTATTACAATACTAAACACATCCTTAATAGAGAGGTGATAACAAGGCTGGCGTGCTGGCGCATCCAATCATTTTTAGCTTTTTAATTGTATTTTATATTTATTAAAATATTAAATTTTGTTAAAAATAAAAGATAATAAAATGTAATTTTAAAAATAATATAATAATTTTATTATATTTTAAAAATGTAAAAAAACCAAAATTTAATAACAACTAATGAACTGTAATAAAAGGTAATATTAGTCTTGATAATTAATTCATTGATTTCTGAAAAATAAAATAATCTTTATACTATTTTATGAAAAATGTTTTTTTCTTCTGGATCAATTTTTGTTAATTTTTAAATTGTTTTTTTTTTTATTTCCAAACAATTTTGAGCTTTCAAATTAGGTTTATTATTAAAAATTCTTTTCATGAAAAGAATAAACACAAACATTCTTCGTTTTTTCATTGGTCGAAACGAAGATGGTTCTGTTTTGTTAATTTGATGTAAAGGAGGACTATAGAATAAAAAACCCAAGACGTGTGCATGCCGGAAAAGAGAGGGTGGATAAATGCGTTCATTAGCAAGCGGGTCTCTTCAACCATCGTATGTCGGCACTCAGCACAGAATGTTGACATTTTTAAATCAGAGTTAACTGTGAAGAAAGAATGGTGTCCAGAATTTAAAATCTAAAATCTGTAAAATTGGTATCATATCATGTAAAATGAATTGTCTCCATTTTGTACACCCTTCATGGTTTTAAAAAAAATCAATTACGAAAGAAAAGAGGAGGGGAAAAAAAAAAGCTGATATAAACTTCATTGCATTCTGCTAACCCTCTCGAGCAGGGTGTTCACTGTTATGGAGAAAGCATCCTGAAACTTCTGAAACCGACAACTTGAATCACCATACACCAACCCAGGTAGAAGTTCATACACTATGTACCTCCTCATATCGTCTCTTTCCTTTGCAGAAATACTG